GCCCAGCTGGAGGCGTCCAATCAGAAGACAGAGACAAAAATCCCTGGCTAGCCACTCCCCCAGGGGCGCGGCTGAGACGCGCCGGAGGGTAGAGACGCAGGCTTTCCCTGGGTGCAGGGGCGGTTCTGACCTCCTCGCAGCTCCCCTCAGTCTGCAGCCTGCTCCCCCTCTGTCCTCCCTCTCTCAAACCGCTCCTCCGCCCTGCCCCGCGCCCCTCTTTGTGTTTGCTGTTATCTCCCCCGCCCCTTTTCTCCTTTCCTTCTTTCTGAACTGTTCTCTTCCGTTCCTTCTTCCATTTTCCTTTCTTTAACCCCAACACCCCAGCACGCCTGTCATCGGTACTACGACCCTCTTTCTGGGTTATTGAAAAAAAGGGCGGCGAGTTCTAAGTTACACGATCGATACATGCTCGGCTCTGTGGATGCTAAGCGTGCGCCGGAGCCAGCTGTGGATCTCTGCTCGCCAGGCGGTGGCCAGCCTCGACCCTCTTACACTGAGTAGGTCGAGGAGGTGTATACATGCCAAAGCATGTCCCAGCCAAGATCACGCCCCACAGAAACACAGTAATAAATAAAGAGATCTTCCCAGTAGCGTCAGGGGTTTTCTACCCTAGCTGATCCTTAACGGTCTGTACAAAAGAAAAAGAAAGATGAGAAAACAAAGCAATGAGATGCGTCAAAAAATACTTTTTTATTCTCTGTAATGGTTCGATCAATCTTGCATTCTTACATCCGGTAATCTGAGCAACTTCGTTGAAGATAACAATATGTAATGTAACAACCACTGTTAATGCCTATCATTTTGTTCTGAAACCCTGTACCATGTTTACTGTTTTTGCTTTGTTTTGTTTTTCCCTATGTTGTTGGTATTTTGCTATTGTTCTTTCTTATTATTCTCTTTAAAATATAAAAAAAAATAACTTCTCAAAAGCTTATCCAAAGGTACTAAAGTGGAGAAAATAAAAAAACGAAATGGTTAAAATGTTTGAAGAGGTTAAGGATCGAATAAACGATCAAAAACGCAAAAGATGTTTTGCAAGTTCAAAGAGGAAGTAAATAAACAGGGAAAGGATTTAACTAGTAAAATGGTCAATGAACTTCAAGAAGACAGAAACAAAAAGCTGACTGAGTTCAACAAGATGGTACAGAGTAGAGGGCTGGGGATTTAGTTCAGCGGCACAGCGCCTGCCTGGCAAGCGCAAGGTCGTAAGTTTGATTCCCGGTACAGGAAAAAAACAAAACAAAACAATAAAGTAGGCACAAGAAAGGAAATTACGGACATTAGAGCCTGTCCTACTGAGCTGAAGCAGAGCAGTAACAGAAACACGGGCTGGGCTTTCTGTACATTTTGAAGTTTCTTTTTGGAAGACCTAAGAGGTGTATGTGTGCTTGTAAAAGCTTACATGTGGTCGTTACTGCTTTTACTTTGATACTGTATTAGCTGCCTTAGTCTCTCCCACCTGAAGTGTTGTTCTGGAGGGTTTGCTAAACTAGTGTTTCTGTTAGGTCATTAATTTGACTCAGTACCCCGGCATCGTCTCTCACATTTTATTTAACTTTCCTCCCCCTCTTCTTTTTTTTGTTTTTGCTTTTTACTTTCCTTCTCATACAATCTCAGATCTGACCTCTTTCTTTTCTGGTATATAAATAATAACAGTAAAGTTTATTTACCCTTTTTTTTTTCCTCTTTTAGAGTACATTTGCAGGGCATGTGGTGTATATGCAACTGTGTACGAGTATTCCTTATTGCTTTGGTTTACATAATTTCTTACATTGACCTGTCACGTTATCCCTCACAGAGGTTTGTCTCTTGGGTCTTCTAGCATTGGAGTTTTGCTACTTTACTAGTGGTATTAAAAAATATTCTCTGAGCCAGGTAGGGTGGTGCACACCTGTCATCCCAGCACATGGGAGGCTGAGGCAGGAGGATTGCTATGAGTTCAAGGCCAGCCTAGACTACATAGTGAGTTCAAGGCCAGTCTGAACTACATAGTGAAACCCTATCTCAACCAATCCACCAACCAACTAACCAACCAATGAAACCCAAAAATAGTCTCTGAATTTATTTCAGAGAATTCCTTTAACCTAAGCAATATGATAGATACCCATGTAAAGGAAGCATTTAAAACCCCAACACAATAGATCTGGAAAACACAACACATCGTAGTCTATATCCAACATATCATAGTCACTATCCTACAGACACAAAAAAAGAGAGAGTACTAAAAGCTACTAGAAGGAAGCACCAAATTACCTATCACGGAAAACCCATCACAGTAATACGCAGATTTCTTAGTGCAAATATTAAAGGACAGAAAGGAGAGTGTGGAGTGAAGCTTTTAACCCACCCTCCCAATTTTGCTAACCCAGATTAGCAAAAGCACCCTTCCAAATTGTAGAAAGAAGAAAGACCTTCCTTGATAAGGAAAATAATGACCACCAAACCATCACTGTGGAATACTTAATGGACTCCTAGACAGAGACATAGAAGGTAACAATGCCCAAGAGCTCAGAGGAAAGACGTCAAACCAGCAGAGTAGCTAAATGAGAAGAAAATGGCAAGGGCTCAAGCAATGAAAATGTAATGTGACGGCAGGAATCAATGCATACCTATGTTCGTCACCTTTCCTGTCAATGGACACAGTACTTGACACCCAGAACTTAAAGGAGGAGAAGTTCTCTTTAGCTTAGGGTTTTGGCAGATTCAGTTCATAGTCAGCTGACTCTAAAGGAGAAGCATCATGATAGAAACACGAATGGTACGAAGATGGTTAGTTCTGGGCTCCTGCGAAGCACTGCCAGCCAGGGAACAGGACAGGGACCACCCGGAGTACCCAAAGTCACGCCCCACAACCCACCCAGAAGTGTGCCCTGCCTCCGTTTTTCTGAGTCTCTGCAACGTCTCAGGACAAAATGTAGACAGATGATCTGGATCTCTCCTCTGTATTACAACTGCAGATGGAGTCCGTGTTCCCAACAGAAAGGTCCTGAGCCTGGCCTTTACCGAAATTACAACAGATGCTGGCTAAATCAAGAGGGTTACAAAAAAATCTCCTTTTTTTTTTTTTTTTTGGTACCAGGAATTGAACTCAGGGCCTTACGCTTGCCAGGCAGGTGCTGTTCCACTGAGCTATATCCCCGGCCTAAGAAACTCTTGAAAACACATATTCCAATAAATTGGAGCATCTGGAAAAATGCATAAAATCCTAGAAACATGATTTACCAAAATTGAACAAAGAAGACAGAAAACCCCAGAACACAGATCAATAACAAGCACTGAAATTAATGCTATAATCAAAACTCAATCAATGCAAAAAAGGACAACAAAACAAAACAAAACATTACATGCCGGGCATGGTGGTGCACGCCTGTAATCCCAGCACTTGGGGAGCTGAGGCAGGAGGATCCTTGCAAGTTTGAGACCAGCCTGGGCTACAAAGTGAGCTGAAGCCCAGCCTGAACTACATAGCAAGACCCTGTCTCAAAAAGACAAAAACAAACAAACAAACAAACAAACAAAAAAACCAAAAAAAACCCCAAAAAAGAACAAAACTCAATCAATGAAGAGATACTCAGAACCCAAAGGATGTGCTGCAGAATTTTACTAAAATTCTAGAAAAGAACTAAAACTTACCTTTCAAACTTTTCTATGTCATTGAAACAGAAGGAATTCTTCCAAACTCATTCTGTAAAGCTAGAATTTCCCTAGCATCAAAACCAGATAAGGATTTAATGCAACAAAAAGCTACACCCCAATATCCTTTTTGAACATACATGCAAAAATCCTTAATATGATACTTACAAAATAACTCAACAAATAATTAAGAAGATGATACACCAAAACCAAGTCAGCTTCATCTCAGAGATGCAAGGATGGTATAACAGATGTACATCAATAAATGTAACACATTGGAATGGTTATCATGAAGAATACAACAGACAACAAATGCTGGTGAGGATGTGAGAAACAAAGAACACTTCTATATTACTGTTGGGAATGTAAACTATTACAACCATCATGGAAATCAATATGGAGAGAGCTCAAAAAATTACAACAGGAATTCCATTTAATCTAGCTATGACTGTCTTGGCTATACTCCTGAAAGAGTTAAAGATGTCATAATATAATGATACAAGCATACCTATATTAACACTGGCAAAATTCACAATAGCTGAGCTCTGGATACAGTCTAAACCTTTACCAACAGAGAAATAGAAAAAACGTGGTAGGTATACACAATGGAATATATTACCCAGTAACAAAGAATAAAATTATGTCCTTTGCAAGAATATTAATGGGACTTCAGGTCATAATGTTATGTGAAACATACTAGGCGCAGAAAGTTAAATATTGCATGGTTTATCTTATATGAGATACCTAAAGTATTAATAAAGAAATGGTTAAGATAAAGGAGAGAGGAAGAAAAGAAGGCAGACTTTTAAGAGGTAAAGAGAGACTGGGGGAGTAGGGCAGTAAGAGGAGGGAAATAATGTGATACAAGTGATCAAGGCATGTTATATACGGGTATCAAATCCCCCCAGACGAACACAATTATTATGTGTTACAAACATACAGTAATAAAATACTAATTAAAAGTAATGTAAGTAAAATGGGAAGGCCCCCAGGTTGGCCTTGGAAGCTGTGTGTGGGGCCTCACAAAGCCTCTTCAGCCTGACGTGGATGACTGAGGCCCTTCAAATCTGCTTGTTCTCCCTCTAACAAAAGATAAGGGAGAAAATAACTAACATTGTGCTAAGACACTGCAGAGTTCATTTGTTACACAGCAGCTATGGTTACTAAGTCAGCTGGGCTCTCAGTCCCTCAAATGACACTCAAAAAGTGTGTTCTCCTCCAAGTGATACAGCGGAAGTGTTGAAATCAGAACTCTTTCTTTTCCGTCACACTGTCCCTGCAGATTCACACCTTTCTCCTAGTCTTTTCTTAGAGCCAGATGGCCGGATTTGAGTAGGACAGTGAGGAGACTGATTTAAATCACCCACCTGAGGCTCTGTTCTTTTGATGCCAATGAGGAAGACGCAGTGGGCCAGGAGGAGGCAGAGAGCGAGGTGCAGGTGCAAGGTGGTGCCGGTGTTCTGGATGGGTCGGCACAGGACGAAGGTGAGGGCCGCTAGCACGAGGCACAGCAGAGAGAGGCTCAGCCCCCCGTAGGTGATCGCCTTCAGCACGGGGTCCTCCTGCAAGCCACCAAGGGAGGGTTACCAAACAGTTTCCAACTCTGCCGTCACCTTCCCGAGGGAGAGTCAGACGCTCACTCCTGCCACCCCTAACACGGTCCCTCACCCTAACGTGGCGTTTTTCCTCCGCAAAACGGAGAGAGATTTACTCCCCATGACTGCTGTAAAAACAGAAGTCTAGATAGAAGCCGTCCAATAGAAATTTGGACATAGGAAACTTGTGTTGAACACTTTTTTTCAAGAATAAGAAATTTTATTGGAGAAAAGGAATGGAAAATAGCAATAGCTCCTGAGAGACAGGAGGGGTCCCGAGTGGGTTGCCCTAATTTAACACTTTCTAATAGGTAAATTTAAAAAGATAAAGAACAGGTAAAATTAACTTAGTCATGCAAAATTCTACTTAATCTGATAGTGTCAAACTATTATCAGTTCTATGAATGATCAGTGTCAATGGAAACAATTACTAGTGGAAAATTTGACAATTTTTAAATATTAGGCCTTTGACATTTATGTATATGTTGCACTTACAACACATTTAAATTTCTACACTATAATCCTATCCAGGAATAAAGTTGCCTTTAATAGAAAAATACTTCACACTGCTCCAGTTTTTAAATTTAAAATTGATTAAAATGAAATAACATTAAAGATACAGTTCTTCAGGTGCACTTGGCTAAATTTTAAGTGTTCTGTAGCCATAGGGATGAAATTTTATTCAACAGCACAGGGCTCAAAATTAATGTCAATGAAAACTGAGCTTTTAAAAAATGTCTTGCTCCCCATTGCATGTTCATTGTCTAGGACAGCCGGGCATGGTGGCGCATGCCTGTAATCCCAGCACTCGGGAGGCTGCGACAGGAGGATCATTGCCAGTTCGAGACCAGCATGGACTACAAAGTGAGCTCAAGGTCAGCCTGAACTGCATAGTGAGACCTTGTCTCAAAAAGACAAAAAACAAAACAAAACAAAACAAAACAAAACAAAAACAACCCCACAATGTCTAGGACAGTACCTGGCACATAATAAGCACTCAAGAAATACATTTTTTTTTCAATAAATATTTTTGACTGACTAAAATGAAGCCACGTCTATGAAGGATAGAAGAAGTTGGTTATCATGTAGTTAAATATTTAAGAAGTCAAAGGTAAAAAATAGGAGGAGTTAGGGAGATTTCTTTCAATCTGCGTTATCCTAGTATTAGTTGGTACCTAAGAAGTCCAGTCAGGTACAGTGATTTAGATTTAGAGTGTATCCCCAAACTCTCATGCACTCAGAGGTGGGACCTTTGGAAAGTGGCTGGATCATGGGGATGCTGCCGTCACCAGTGGATTTATCCAGTGATGAGTTCAGTAGCTGGATGTGCTGAGTGCGGGTGGGTCCCTGAGGGGGATACCCTGGAAGGGTTTATTCTTGTCCCAGCTGCTCCTTTCTCCTCCCACCTCCTGTCTTCCTGGAAATGAGCAGTTTTCCTCCGTAGTAGGCCCTTCCTCCCACCTCGCTGCTTCTGCATTTGAGCTCTCTAGCCATGGGCTGAAACTTCTGAAATCGTGAGCCAAATAACCCTCTGCTCCTTTATGTTCTGGCTGTTGGGTGTCGTCTCTCAGTGGCTCAGAAGCAACTAAGACAAGGGCTACTCTTTATCATGGGCGCGAGACAGTGGCCTTCTTTCTGAGCTGACCGGGGAGGTTTGGTAGTGACTCCATTTTACAAAGTAACAGACGCTTTCCGTTCCAGGTCCCCTGGGGATCTGCGAAGGGACTCCTGTGAAGGCTGCCGGACCACCTTCCCAGTGCCTGTCGACTTTTCATGTGGGTTGAGCTCACGGGTCCTGAGCTGACCCGTGCTTGAGAAAGTGTTAGGGAATTAACACCCTCTGAACACAGATGCAAGCAAGTGACTAAAAGTGGGTGCATAAATACCTCAGTTCCCGCATCATGTACATCAGCTCCCAGAGTCCCCAGCAAAAATAAGCTCAGAGACCCACGGAGAGCACTGCCTTGGTAATGTTCTCTGCACTGGTGTCTGTCCTTTTCCCACATTTTTTTTCCCAGGCCCCTACTGATGTTTCTTTAAATCACCTCTCATGTAAGCTTTTTTTTTTTTGTCTTTTTGAGACAGGGTCTCACTACACAGTTCAGGCTGACCTTGAGCTCACTTTGCAGCCCAGGCTGGCCTTGAACTCACAAGGATCCTCCTGCCTCAGCCTCCCGAGTGCTGGAACTACAGGCATGTGCCACCACGCCCAGCTCTCATGGAAGCTTGAATCCTTGTTGTAAAGTCTTTTTCTGAAAATATGTGGCGGATGAGCTCAGAGCTTTCATGCAGCAGAATCATGCATCTTGGTACCTTGGGGCTCAGGGCCATGAGGACAGCAAAGCTGGACAGGTGGTGGCACTTGCACGTGGTGTAAGAATCACTGCTGCCCACGTGAAGGCAGCCCTCTGTTGACCAGCTGCCCCCTTCCTCTGATCCTTCCCAGAAGACACAGAAGTGCTGAGCATTCTCAACTCCAGGCTGCAAAGACAACAGTAGGAAGGTGGATCTCCTTCCATTCTCATTATTCCAACTTCACGTATTACTCTAACGCAGTGAGTTGGGAACTGGATTTGGGAGAACACTGCGGGGAAGTTTACCATCACCACACCTGCTGTGGGGTTTATGCCCCATGTATTCTCCCCTTCTGTGGCCATCTTAGTTCGCTGAGGATTGACGCTTATGAGCTCGTTCACCCAAATTCCTCACCATTGATAAAACCAAGAAGGGTGCCAGTGAGTGAGAGATCACCGGACGGGAAAAGTGAGACGCCGAGCACCTTCTTAGGATTCCCTTTCTGCTCTGGACTCTTCCTTTGCAACAGGATGGCTTCTACCTTCTGCCTGCATTTGGCTTCCACGCAGCTCCTCAGTACCACTCAGCACTCCATTGTCTTTTTAGGCTTTACTGTGAGAAGGGTTTCCCACCCTGGCAGTCTCTGGGTGTCTTGGTGTTATGGTTGACACGCTGTGTCAACTTGAGGAGTCTAGAGGTTTGGCTAAGTGACCCAGCAGTTCTGCATCCTGGGGTGAAAAGGACACGCCCTTACAGCGCTGGGATGTTGTTCATTGATTTGAAAAGTTTAGGAGGTCAACTAAGTTCCTGAGCAGGGGGCGGGGCCCTTACTTTGCATCATCCCGAGCCTGCGCAAGAGGAGGGCAGGAGGTTACGTGAGTGCTGCACACCCCTGGGTGTGGGTAGCCTGCTTACAGTGTAAGGGAGGGAAAGAGGGTTGTTCCTCCCCTTGTGCTCTTGCTGCTTTTCTGTCTTCTGCTGTCTTGAACTGTTGCCCCTGTGTCCTGTCACCCTGCCTCGGAGCCAGCTGATTATGGACTGAAACCTCCACAAACTGTGAGCTCAATAAACCTTCCCTTCAGCAGCCACCCAGGCACTCAGAGGCCACTAAGGCTGTGGTTCAAGGAGACCAAGCTACTGCTCACAGCGGCAGCAGACCCTGGCATTGTCCACGTGGTGCTGGTTTTGCAGGCATACAGAAAGCAAGGGTTATACGGTCACAGGGGTTTTCACCCAGATTTCAGAGGAAGGCTTAGAGCCAGGTATAGTGGTGCATGCCTGGAAACCCAGCACTCTGGGAGGCTGAGACAGGAAAATTGTGAGTTTGAGTCCAGCTTGGACAAGTGAACAATTCAGTGAGACCCTGTCTCAAAATGTCAAAAAAAGGCAGGGGATGTAGCTCAGTGGGAAGGCCCTGGGGTCAGTTCCATGTACTACAAAAATAACAAGACTTGGGAGGTGTTATGGTTTGTGTCTAGTTGTCCCCTAAACCCTCACAGGGTCATAGGTGGGACTTTTTGGAGGTGGTTGGATGTAGAGTGTGTGATGCTGGAATCAAGGCTGTGATACTGGGATTGATTCATGGTGTGATGCTGGGATTAAGGGCAGGTAACCTCAATGGAATATAAGGGACAGAAAGAGGGCTGCTACTGTCCCTTGTTACTTTGCTGCTTTTTCACTACTTTGCTGCCTTCTGGCTGCCACAGACTCTTTCGTCTCTGCGATGCTCCTATGCCATGCCACCCTGCCTTGGAGCCAGCCGACTAGGAATGCTTTACACACTGTGAACCAAAATAAACCCTTCCTCCTTTAACTTTCAGTGTTAGTATTTTGCCTTAACAACAACAAAAGTAACTAAGGCAGCCAACCTGCCTTGCACAGCAGGACTCTTTCTCAAAAAATTTTTAAAGGTGCATGGTAGGGCTAGGGATATAGTTTAGTGATACAACTTCTAGCATGTGCGAGACCCTGCATTTAATTCCTGGTATTGGCAATAAATAAATAAATGAATAAATGCAATGAAAGAAGTCAATCTATAAAAGTTACCCACAATACGATTCCAAATATCAGACACTGTTCAAAGGACAAAACTATGATGCCAGGTGTGATGGTGTGTACCTGTAATCCCAGCACTCAAGAGGCTGAGGCAGGAGGATCGCTACAAGTTCAAGGCCAGCTTGGCCTACATAGTGAGTTTAAGGCCAGCCTGAACTGCAGAGAGAGACCCTGTCTCAAAAATAACAACAAAGATACAACTATGAGACAGTAAAAAGACCACTCGTGGACAGAGATTTCAAAGTGGAAGGAAAACAAGCAGAAGACAGAGAATTTTAGGAATTAGTGCAACTATTCTGTATCTTGCAAATATAATGGACACATGACACTAAGCATGAGTCCAAATCCACAGAACATGTAATGGTAAGAGTCAGCCTTCGTGTAAACTCGGACTCAGTGTATCAGGCTTGGTTCATTGATTTTAACAAACATAGCACAATAATACTACATTTTTTAAAACATTGGACAAATTGCAGAGGCACAGTGGTGGTGGGGGAATATTATATTCTTGTTTCTTTTTAAAAATTTATTTCTATTTTTGTAGTAATAGAAATTGAGCCCAGGGCCTTGGCAATGGAACTACAAACCCCAGTCCTTTTTTTATTTTGGGGCAGGGCCTTGCTAAGTCATTAACTTGTCCAGATTGGGTTTGAACTTGGGATCCTCCTGTCTCAGCCTCCCAGGCTGCTGGGATTACAGGTGTACACCACTGTGCCTGGCTCTACTTTCTTTTCCCGTTGTTTTGGCAATGCTGGGATTGTACCCAGGGCCTCGCACATGCAAAGCAGGGACTCTACCACTGAGCTACATTCCGAGGCCCACACTGTACTTTCAGACTAGTCATTCCATAAGCCTCAAACTGCTCATAATTAAATTCTGGGTGTTGGGGGTGTGGCTCAGTGCTAACATGCTTGCCCGGCCCAACTTGCAGCTGTGGGTGTTGGATATTGTGTTTCTGTGACAAGACAGTGACTTAGACAATATTATAGGCAGCCGGGTGGCATCCTGGGCTGAGGGCCAGAGAGAGCCTTTATTTTCAGACATGGCTAGGCACTGTGACTCTCATGATAGCAAGCGTGGGGACAGGGGACAAGGGGGTGTGTGACACAAGGAGACCACAGAAACTTCTGGCCATCCCGGGGGTCTCGAGATTCCAGGAGGCAGGAGGCTGCCAGTGCTCTGCAGTGAGTTCTGCCTGGGCACTGCCAGGAGTGCCTGTGGTTCGACAGGTGCCAATTTGCAAGTCACAGCAGCAAGGGCCATAAGGAAATTGCGTAGTGCCGGGGATACAGCTCAGCAGCACAAGCGCCTGCCTGGTGAGCACAAGGTCCTGAGTTCAAATCCCGTAACCGTCCCCCAATAAAGAGCCACCGTAAAAGGAAATTGTGTAAACGAGGAATGTGTTACCTCCTGACATTCGGCGGGTGCAGCTCAGTGGCACAGCACTGCCCAGCATGTGCAAGGCCTGGGTGCCATGCCCAGCGCCCTAACACACACACACACACACACACACACACACACACACAAGTACTTGAGCCAGAACTTGCACAGGACCTTGAAGCTAAGAGGTTCCGTAGCTATTTCTACATCGTGTTGGGGCGGGGGGGCATGGCCCATTTACCAGCTACTGTACTTTACAAGAGTTTCACCATAGTGCCAGAGCTGACTGGCAAACAGATGCCCCCAGTGCAGCAGGACACAAGGGCAGATCCGTGCTCCCGGGAAGGTGAGCGCAGTTCACATATTTCCTGCAGACCGTGAGCAATGTGAAGGCTGTTGAGGGTCCCCAAAGGTAACCAGCTAAAAGTACCACACCATATCACCCCAAAGGAAAGACAAGCCAGGCGCGGTAGCACACGCCTGTAATCCCAGCACTCAGGAGACCTAGGCAGGAGGATCACAAGCTCAGGCCCAGCCTGGGTCATTTAACAGCCTAGTGAGACCCTGTCTCAAAATAAAAAATAAAAAGAGGTTTATTCAGATCACAGCTCCGGAGGTCACCAGTGGAGCGTGTGTGCACGTGAGCACCCGCGTGGGGTGCCAGGAACCGAACCCAGGGCCTTCTGCATGCTGGGCGAGCCCTCTACGACTGAGATACACCCCCAGCCCCCACAAGTATTTTTCTTGTCTCCTCTTTTCTATCTGTTCATATATTTTGTGGTATTGGAGACTGAACGCAGGCCTTCCCAGGAAGCTACACCCAACTGCCCACGCTGGGCTCCAACTCCTGAGCGGAAGTGATCCTGCCGTCTCAGCCTTCGCCGTGCTGGGATTGCGGGCAGGTGCCACAGTGCCCAGCACGCCCACAGATACTGTACTTTAAAATGACACAAATCCCAGTGTTTGAAGAATTCAGCAAAATCATTCAAGCCCTGTTTCGGGGAAGAAAATTATGTCACATCTGCCAACTCAACAGGAACACCTACAAGTGTCTCTCCTCCAGGTGAAGCCCGGTCACTGAACTATTCACACAGGAAGTTACGTGGTGGACAACAAACACTATCAGGCCTGCCTGGCAGGGCTCTCAGCCCCCAGCAGCGGCGAGGCGAACCGGTGGGGAACCCGGGGGCAAGTGAGCTGCGGGGAAAACGCGCTCAGATGCTGCGGCTGTCAACTTTGAGCTGAACTCTTCTCTCTCACCACTGGCAAATGTTTGTAAAATCTACCACCCGCTCGCTTCATAAGCTAAATCTCACGGAAGACACTGGCCAATCACCCAACAGGAAGCCTGCAGTTTTACAGTTCTTCGGTCTAATGTAGTAAAGGGAAAAGAGGCGATCTGCTCTGGAGATGACTTATCTGCTGAGGAGAGCAGACACGATAGCACGTATCGAAAATACGATTCGACTAGAATCAGGAGGGAAGAGGCCTTCTCAAGTAAGCGGTGCTTTCTATGGATGCGCAGCTACTGAGGACACGGTGGGCCCCGAAGGAATGGAGACATTTGTGAAGACGTTGGTGTAGAACCTGAAAACATAGTTATGCTTGTCCTAGCTTGGAAAGTGGATGCACAAAACGTGGGCTATTTTTCTGTACAAGGAACAGGAATGACTTCTTCACAATGTGACGCGACAGAAAAACTCAGAAATTCTTTGGATTGCTTGCGATCGTTATTAAATGATTCAACAAGCTTTAAGCTCGTTTATAGATACGCATTTGACTTTGCAAGGGAAAAGGACCAGCATAGTCTAAACTTAAACACTGCCAAATGCATGTTGGGACTGTGATTAGGAAAAATCTGGCCTCTTCGCTCATTTTTTCACCAATTCTTAGAGGCACTATGGCGTCATAATTGCCGTCAGTCAGCAATACTCGGTTTCTTTCTTTCTTTCTTTCTTTCTTCCTTTGTTTCTTTCTTTCTTTCTTTCTTTTTTTTTTTTGCCTTTTTGAGACAGGGTTTCACTACGCAGCTCAGGCTGGCTTTGAACTCACTTTGTAGCCCAGGCGGGCCTGGAACTCACAGTGATCCTCCTGCCTCAGCCTCCTAAGTGCTGGGGTTACAGGCGTGTGCCACCACGCCCAGCCAACTACTCGTTTTCGTGAAGTGCATGTGCGCATGCGTGTTATGTCGTCTGTCGAACTATACAGTGATTAACAGAGACCAGTGGTGCAATGTGCTTGGATTCAGCAGAACAATTCATCTTGACCTCAGCAGCTATGCCGGAGATGGAGCGTGGCCAGTCTTTTCGGATGAGTTTGTGGGGCGGTATAAAGACAAGCTGCTGTCCTCGGGCTGTGTGCATACCAGCGAGAGAGTCACTGTTACCAGTTACGCCACGTGTTAGCTGTACGTCGCTGCTGGTATCAAAGCACAGGCTGCTTCTCTCGCACTGTCTCCCTTTGCAGGAATGCTTTGGCATTTGCTGCTGAATGGGCCAGCGCTGCTGCTGTGCGGCACTGCTCCCTTGGAAGGCTGCCTTCTTCCACTCTGTATTTACACTACGCATCGGTGAATTTGCTTAGGTCCTCACTGTGATTATATGTCTATTGCTGCTTAAATTTTGTATGTGTGTATGAAAAGCTTCACCTAGAGATTATTTCTGCAAAAATGTGTTGTGAAAATAATTTGGGGGCATATTTCTATTCTCCTTTTTTCAAATGAACCAGTTGTATTTCATTTGGTCTCCAATGTAGCAGAAAACAAAACAGAGCAACTGTTACCATGAGCGAATGTTGCTAATTAGCCTTCCTGCTTGAGGCCAATTTCTGAAGAGGAGGTAACTTTTCCGTGGCTCATGCCGAAGGTCATTTGTTTTACTTGCTAATAGTAGTGTTTTAAAATGATGCAAGTTGTAATTATCGACCATGTAGACATGTAACATGCCAGAGACAATCTCCACCATGCAAGGTGTAGCTTTTTTTAAATGTTAAAACGGTAGCAGGTTCAAGATAGGTACAAATGAGCAAATTGAAACTGCGCCTTTTTAAAAAATTAGGGCTTAAATTTTCATGAATTTTCTTTAATGTTATTTTTCTTGTCTTGCGCTTTTGCAGCCTTCCAACCAGTGGTCTCATGTGTTCGGACGTGGGGCTTTTGGAAGGGGATTAGATCCTGGGGGTGCTAACTTCAGAAATGGGGTGCTCCACTGATGGTTTAGTGTGCTGTTAGGACCGGTTAGAGGATGCAGGGCACCGGGCAGGGCTTTGAAGGATGTATTTTTGTCCCTGACCCCTCAGTCAGTCTCTCTCTCTTTCTCTCCCCCTCTCCCTCTCTCTCTCTTCCTCTCTGTCCCTCTCTCTCTTTCTTCCTGTCCTCGGCTTCCTGGATGCCATGAGCTTAGCAGCTTTCCTCTGCCATGTTCTTCAGCCACGTTTCTGCCCCGCCCACCAACCATGGACTGAAATCTCTGAAACCAGAAGCCAATATAAAACTTTTTTTTCTCTTTCAGTTGTATATGTCAGGTATTTTGTACCGTGATGCAAAATAATTAATACAATACCATAATTCTGTTTTTAATTTTTGAGGCATCTTTCCATTTGTCACGGCTGCACTAATTTACATTCCCATTAACAGGGTGTAAGCACCTCCTTCACCCACAGCCTCATCAATACATCTGGCTTTTGAACAACGGCCACCCCAACACATCAGGGTGACAGCTCTTCGAAGTTGCCTCGACATTTCTTGGTTTTTCTCCGCTACCGGGAACCGAACTCACGACCTTGCGCTTGCCAGGCAGGCGCTTTGCCGCTGAGCTAAATCCCCAGCCCCCGCCTCGGCATTTCTTATCCTTTCTTTTACCTCTGAAGGATGACAGTCAGACTCAGCTCGGTACGGGGAAGCTGGTGGGACACCGTCCCACTTCCGGCACTGCACAGAGGCAGCCCTGGCTTCTGCTCACCTGAGTATGTTGAAAAGTCAGGGACACGGGTTCAGACAGGTAAACCTTGTCTTGCAAACCAACTGTGCCACTCACAACACGAGAGTTCAGCTTTACCCCTCGCTTTCCTCTTGAATTATTAAAAAAGGATCCGTTCAGAGTATTCCCAAGAGACTGATACGTGATAAGAGCAACTGTGCTCACAGCTAGGAAAACGGAAGAGAAGTAGTGTTAGAAGGCATCTGCAGGTAAGAAGCCGGCACACCGGTGTCTTATATGAGGGCACACAGTAAATACAGTGTAGAGTTAAAATTACCTGTGGAAATCCTTTAACGTGCACACACAGTATACTAAAAGTGGTTTGGGTTGCAGAATCTGGAACACGTATTCTAATGCCCTACGCATTATAAGAAGTCTAAGTACACGGTGTTCCTAGCAATGGTGCATAGAAATGTGATTCCTTAGCCAGCAAAATCAGCGTTATTAGGCTCTGAAGGGCCAGCTGGCTGTAGACACTATACATTTCCATCTTCCATTTCAACCTCACGCTTATGTGGGGGAGAGGTATGCAGGGTGTCTTATTCTATTTAATGAACTCTTCCTTTCTCCCTGCTCTCCCTCTTTTTCTCCCTCTTCTCCTTCTCTCTCCTTCTGTCGGCATCATTTTCTATCTTCTTCTCTTTTCCCTCTTTTTAAAAAAAAGTATAATTTAATCCACGCAGTTAAATGAACACAAGGTGAAGGATGAACACATCTGTAGCATGGTGCAGTCTCTTCCAAAGTGCAGTTATTCACGGGCCAGACTCTCATTTCGGCCAAAGTCACTTACCGCTCACATTATAATCTACTGCATTAAAAAAAAAACAACTCATTTTCACATCTTTTCCCTTCCTCGCCCTCCCCTACCTGGCCACTCACAGTAAAGAGTGAATGCTCGTTGGTACCCAGGAAGGTTTTCGAGTACACAATCTCAAGGCAACCGTGTGTCTGTCTTCAAAATATTCTATTTGCATCCATTCTGTTGTCATGTGTTTCCTGCGCACCTACTGTGTGCCAGGCATCCTAGGCCTTCCCATAGAGGGGCACACGGAACAAAGTCCTTGCCACCAGAGAGCTGACATTGTATTGGGAGATAGGGGTAACAACTAAATAAATGAGTTAGAAAAACATTACAAATTGTAGGTGCTTCACAGACCTGCGGTGAGGGGGTCAGGCGTGGGAGGCAAACTATGGCATCACCAGCCTGTCATATGTTTTTCCAAATAAAGTTTTATGGGTACAAAGCCACATTCCTTCATTTACACATAATCTACTCTGGTTTTCACGCTACCATGACATAGCTGAGTAGTTATGACTCAGGTAATTTGGGCCCAAAATCTAAAACGTTTACCATCTGCTCCCTTTATCGAAGATGGTTGCTAACCTGCAGAGCAGAGGGAAGCTCTGAGACTACCTTAAATAAGGTGCTCATAACACACGTCTCAAAGAGAGAGATTAAGACGACGATCATCCTCCACTGTCAGGCGACATCTTCAGACTGTCACAAAAGCAGGGCACGCATTAGGGTGTCTGTTTAAGGAAGTAAGTCAGTGCAGCCTCGTTCTAACCTCAGCCTGAACTGCAAAGTGCCCATCCCACAGCTTTATTCCCCGAGTTGCTTGCCAGGGGGTCAGTGAGGAAGATCTTTTCATTTCAACCTACTGTAGCATCTCTCTGTCTAGAAAACTGCATCCCCACCTCCTGACACAGTAAGACAATGCTTACACTGTGTGGTCGATAACATTCCCCTTAGACCCAGTACCTTCTCTGGCTCCTTTGAAAGCATCAGCACAGTTGATACTCATGGTGTTATTGCCAGCTTCCAGAAAGGTCTTCTCATGACACTTCTTGGTTTCATAGACTGAAACATTAAGAAAGTTGAGTCTGACTATATATGCTTCTTGTGCCTCAGAAATCTATTGAGGAACTCCCTCCTTTGGGAATAAGCTTTTAGACAGTTTGTAGCATGCCAGGAAAAGCTGGGAACACGAGCAGAGCTGGTTTATTCATTTATTCATTCAATTTATATCTTCAAAACAGAGTCCTATACATGGGGAGTGTCAGTGGGACCATCCTGTCATTCTGAGAGCTGACAGATTTTGTCATTCACAGGCCCTGTCTATACCAGACCCCATGTCTTTAAGGCGACCCTTGGAGCCCACTTAGTATCTCTTACCTATGTTAAGTTCAGTGTTATTGCCCTTTCCTGGAGAAGCAAAACTCTGATTCCATATAGTCATTTCCACATGATGCAGTAGTTTGGTAGCCCATCTTGCAATTTCCTTTTTGCTCACATTTTCTGCTAGAAGTTCCTTTCAAAGAAATAGCACTAGTTAGGAGGACTTCCATTGAAACTGAAGCAATCAGGACTATGGATAAATCAGAAAGCAACCCCCAAAGCAGCGGGTATTAATGTGCTCCAAGGTGGGGTAGGAATGAAGTTCTTGATGCTTGATACAGGCTGTTTAATGACAGCTGGGGTAGCTTAAACCTATTTCAGAGTTTTTCAATATCTGTTGTCTCTGGAACTAGGTAATTCTTCGCTGAGGTGGGCTGCTCTGGGTACTCTAGGAGTGTGAGCTGTACCCATAGTTTCTATCAACTAGATGCCGGTAGCAATCCTCCCTGGGTTTTGATACCAAATGTTGCCCCAGATAAGGCCAATTTCCCCACTGGACAGAGGACAGAACTATACCCATAATGAGACATACTCTGTTCTAAAAATCACAGGGCGAGGCTGGATGTGGTGGCACACACCTATAGTCCCAGCACTCAGGAGGCTGAGGCAGGAAGATCCCTGTGAATTTGAGACCAGCCTGGGCTACAAAGTGAGTTCAAGTCCAGCCTGAACTGCATAGTGAAACGTGTCTCAAAAAGACACACACACACACACACACACACACACACACACAAATCAGGGCTTCCTGGTAGGGTTTGAGCAGGACAGTGACGTGGTCAGATTTACTAGCTGTTTCCCGACCCCAGGCTTTACCCTACTCACCCAAACATTCTCTTGTGGTGGTGTCTTCTGTGCTGGATTCTCTGAGAAGGAAAGTTAACCATTAAGTGAGATATGGGAGAAAACACATCCATTCTTCCAACCATCCTCAAGCTGGATCCTCATGCTTCTGCAGCCCATCCTAATTGTCCTTTAAGACCTCCAAAAACGTAGTCTATGATAGCGCTTTTTTTTGGCAAGGCTAGATATTGAACCAAAGGTCTTACATGTGCTAAGCAAGCACTCTACCACTGAGCCACAGCCCAACCCTGCAGCAGACTCTTCAAAGGGGATTAGCGTGTGACGTCTAGTTGAATCATTCAGTCGACAGTATTTGCTGAGCCCGGACGGTGAACCTTGACTGTTGATGTAGCTGGCTTGAGAGACACCTGGGAGTGTGGCAATCCCACTCTCGGTGTGTCTCAGTGCTTCGTTTCCCCCTTTATCTCTGAGCTCTTCCCCTGGTCTCTAATTTTCCAAACTGTGCGAGTTGAGCAACTTCCTTTGACTGTGATGTTTCTGCCATCATGTTCTTGCCATGGAGCCAGCCGACCATGGGTTAAAACCTCTGAAACTGTGAACCAGAAGAAATCTCTCTCCCTTTAGGATGTGGGTGTCAAGTAGTTTGTCCCAGTAATGGGAAAACTGACCAATACAAGGAGCTATTTGAAACCAGGCACAAAGCTAAATTATCCATCCATCTATCTATCTATCTATCTATCTATCTATCTATCTATCATCTACCCATCTACCTACCTATCTGTCTGTCTATCTCAAGGATATTCCCTCATGGAATTCAAACTCTGGCAGGATGGTTGTTAAGCAAACAAATACAAGTAAGTAATGAACTGATTGCAATTGACGGTCTTATTAAATAGGATGAGATGACGTGGGCGTGTACAGCAGCTCCTCCAACACACAAGGTTCAGAGAAAACCCAAAGCAAAAATAAAGAGCAAAATATAAGATAACGGAAAGTAGGGGGATAGAGATTTCTCAGAGAGGAAGAGGAGCAAAAAGAGATGGAGGGAGGAGAGGTGGGGAGGACTAGGGGTGAAAAATAAATTGGGATGTTGTTATGGTTTGTGTATGAATGTCCCCCAAAGCCTCCTGCAGTCATAGGGCTTTTTCAGAGGTGGCTGAACCTAGAGTGTGTGAGCCTGGGATTGAGAGTGTGTGATTAGTAAATCAGCCCACTGGTTGGTTTGGCGTAGCTCTGGCTGGGATTGAGGGTGTGAGTGCTATTCCTGCGGGTAGTCTGCATACCCTATAAGGGACAGAAAGAGTCTTGTCTCTCTCTCCCTTGCTTCCTTGCCTTTGCTGTCTTCTGCCGCCATGAACTGTGTCTCCTCTACCATGCCCCTCTGCCGAGCTGCCTTGCCTTGGATCCAGCCTGTTTTGGACTGAAACCTCTAAAAAACTGTGAGCTTTATAAACCTTTGCCCCCTTTAACTTTGAGTGTTGGGTATTTTGTCTCAGCGAGAGAAAAGTACTTAAGACAGATGTGTTATGTCCAGGTACCAATGTCAGCATGATGTACTACAAACATGTATCCTAAAACTAAACTAAACTAAACTGAACTAAACTAAACTAAACCAACGAAGCTAAGCAATCAACAGATGTGTGGGCGGGGGAGAGAAGGAAGGGCAGGAAACGAGAGAAGGAATTAAGCCGTGTGATGTACACACACCACCTCCACACAAACAGTGTGAACATTATGTGCTGCACCCACGTGCTGATCAACTAAAATTTAAGGAGAAATAAAAATAAAAAGTAAAAATGATAGCAATACAGCAAAAGAAGAAGGCTTTCCAAATAAATGAGCGTTAAATAAATTAGCAGGGAAGCAATCGGCTACACATGTATACAGTTTATTTTTACTTACATCTTATTTAAGGGTGTACAGGCAGTTTATGAACACACTTAGGTAGCATCATAGCTAGTATGTGCTGATGCTTCTTATGAGTTTTCAGGTATTTCACAGGTGTTAATAATCATGAAGGGGAGATGAGGTGGGGGAGATTGCTAGGACTGCTGTGAGCCTTCGTACCACACACTGGATGAATGAAAACGAGAAAATGTATTTTCCTGTAGCTCTGGACGTTGGAAATGAGAATTCAAACCATCAGCAGAGCTGTGCTTGCTCTGGAAGTTCGAGGGCAGAATCCTGTCTGGCCCCTGCTTATTTCTCTGGGTGGCCAGCAGCAGTCTTTGCCAGGCAGTGGCCGTGGCACTGTAACTCCCGTCTCTGCCCTTTCCTTCATGAGCCCATCTCGCCTTCTCTGTACGTGTCCACATGTCTCTCATTTTGAAAGAACACCGGTTATACGGGGTTAGGACTCGCCGTCATCCAGAGTGACCTCATCTAGAACTGATTATATCGGCAGAGTTCCTATTTCCACACAAGGCTGCATTCACAAGCTTAAGGAGACTTGAGTCTCCGAGGAACAGTATTCAGCCCAGCAAGTAGTTTTAAAGAACTGTTTCGGAACGCCTACGGTCCCCGGGTATTCACACCCACCCTAGTGTAACCTCCTCCCCTTAGCTGTGCACTGGATGCAGTGGCTCGCCTCTAGTGGACAGAACACTGCAAAAGGACAGGATGTCTTGCGTGGGATCAGGGGATGAAAGACCGACTCCTACTCTTTCTGCCTATTCCCAGCGGTCGCTATAATGAGGCAGAGGAGCCGCTAGCGTAGAGGAGCCGCTCTAAAAAGTGGACACTGTCTCACACAAACCACCAGCGGGGAACTGAATGCTTCAGTCTAACAGCTTTCAAGAAACTGAACACGACCAGCAGTCACTGGGGGGATTTAGAAGCAGGTCCTATCCCTGACGGAGGCTTCACATGAAACAATAGCTCTGAACAGTTCCCTGATTGTGGATGTGAGGGACTGAGATTCAGAAGAAACATGTAAGCCAGGCCTGGACTGCTGACTCACGGAAGTATGACATGATACACTTCTGTGCTGTTCTAAGCCACTTAGTGTTGGAGTAACTTGAGATACAGCAGCGTGTAACTGAGTAGGCACTATGAGTGTTCCCACGTATAGATGAGACATTTAGGTAGGTGGAGTCCTAACCACAAGTCAGCCGGTCAGTTGAGGTACCACTCCTTAATCAGCACAGCGTGCAACATCACGTGAAGATCTGTTATGGTTGATACTTTGTGCCAACTTCGGGAGTCTAGAGGTTTGGCTAAGTGACTCAGCAGTTCTGCATCTTGGGGTGAAAAGGACATGCCCTTGCCCTTCTGGGATGTTGTTCATTGTGTCAATTTGAGAAGTTTAAAAGGTTAACTGTGTGACTCAGCAGGGAGCCAGGGTGCTTGCTTTGTATTCATCCTGAGCCTGTGCAAGAGGAGGGCGTGGAGATTGTGTGAGTGCTACGGCCCCCTGGGTGGGGTTAGCCTGTTTACAATGTAAGGGAGGGAAAGAGGCTTGCTCTTCTCTGCCGCTCCTCCCTTTGCTCTTGTTGCTTTGCAGTTTTGCAGCCATGAACTGTTGTCCTCTGCCATGTGCCACTCTACCTTGGAGCCAGCCGAGTATCGACTGAAACCTCTACAAACTGTGAGCTAAATAAACCTTTCCTTCCTTCATTTTGGGCGTTGGGTATTTTGTCTCAGCAATGAGAGAAAAGTAACCAAGACAAGATGGAAGAATTAAATGAAGCATACATATAAACATTATGGTTTATATCCAGATGTGTTCAATGCCTCATGTGCCCGTAGGTGGGGCTTTCGGGAGGCTGTGGGACCACGGGTGTGTGCTACTCACTAGTGAAACAGTCCACTGGTGAGCTCACACTAAATGTGAGCTTGGAAGGTGAAGCCTGTTGGAGGGGGCGGGGCTTGAAGGTTCTGTCTCCTTCCTCCCTTGGTTGGTGTCAGCTTCCTGCCTGCCACGCCATGAGCTATTTCTCCCCTGCCAGTCACCCGTGGACTGAAACCTCTACAAACTCTTGTGCGTCAAAATAAACCTCTCCTCCTTAAGCTGTGGGTGTTGGGTATTTTGTTTCAGCAATAAAGAAAGCAACCAAGACACATACTGTGGATACTGGAGAGACACACTGTAGATAAGGAAAAAAGGCTAAATCACACCTTGCTGTTGGACCGGAATCAGAAGTACTAGTATGATCTTGTGAGTTTTAGCCCAAAAATTGGTAGTCATAGAAACTGAACTTAAGATCAGTGCAAAATAAAGAGATAGGTAAGTTTAGAAAAAAAAAATATTAGGGCTGGGGATATAGCTCAGTGGCATAAGTGCCTGCCTGGCAAGTGTAAGGTCCTGAGTTGGATTCCTCATACCAAAAAAAAAAAAAAAAGAAAAAATTAGAGTTGTACTTTGGAAGCCCAAGAGAGAGACTCAGACTGGGGACATCAATTTGTAAGGCACATACACAGAGATGATTCTTGATGCCATGATGACAGCTCTTGATGACGACCATCAAGCTCAAGGACTAGATAAGGGACAAGGGTGAAGACAGATCTCTCTTCTCTTTCCTTGGACTCATGTTCCTGGAGCTGTGACAAACTGTGCTCCCACCTCTTTATCATGGTGGAAAAAGTATTTGGAAATTCTTACCATAACATTCTGGACGATCCATGTCAATGAAACGAGCTGCCCAGAAGAGCAGACGACTGATCAGACAGCTGCAGATGTAGCTTCCAATTCTGTTTTTACAGAATGACTTGTCCTTGCACTTTGCCTGCCCGGTCTTACACTCATCGATATCTGAGAATCAAGACAAAATATTGCTTTTTATTCTCCCAGAAATACACCATTTCCTCTTGCCCATGGAATCTCTACTGTCCAACATCATTTATTTTATTTTATTTTTTTTGTCTTTTTGAGATAGCATCTCACTATGCAGTTCTGGCTGGCCTTGAGCTCACTTTGTAGCCCAGCCTGGTCTTGAACTCCCTATGATCCTCCTGCCTCAGCCTTCCGAGTGCTGAGATTACAGGCATGTGCCACCACACCTGGCTCAAACATCATTTATAAATATAGCAAACAATGTCTCTCATTCTTTGATAGGATGAGTTACCATTATAAATATGACAGTTCTCCTTTATCCAATGCAAGACCATTTAAAAATCTACAACTAATTAATAAGCTGAGAAAGAATTGATAGCATTATGCAAGGATAAGCAGGAAGCTCATGAAGTGAGGACCTGCCTTACCAGGTATTAAACTATATTACCAAGCCAGAATGCAACCAGGAGATGCTGGTGAACAAATAGATAAAAACAGGCTGATAAAACAGACTAAAAGTTCAGAAATAAACTCAAGGACATGCAGCAATTTAGGATATAGTGCGATGATTATGTGGAATCACTGGAGTGAAGATATCGTGGATTTTTAAATGCGGAATCACACACTGAGTTAAATAGAATTAACACATATTACCAGAAACAAGGGGATAAAGTCACAGTTAGTGAACCTGCTGTTAGAGGACGATGTATTACATCCTAGCTTAGGCGGTGCTTGTACCCCCTGTGTCTCTCGGCTCCTTGGTTTTCCCTGTCAGCAAATCAGAGTAGAGGTTCAAAAACCTCAGATAAAACCTAGGGTAGGAGTTGTCCTGGGCTAATGACTCGCACTTACGTTCTCTCTCTGAAAAGCCCTGGGCCAGTACAATGGGCTGCTAACTGTTCCTAGTTGTTCGCTCTTATGACACGCTATGGGCTTTGCATGAGCGATGGGCGGGTGTTGGAGAGGACATACAGACCAGCATATTTGGTACCAATAATTGATCGAGGTAAAGCCTCCTAAAATCTTCACCTTCACATTTGTCCTTGGTCCCAGTGAAGTATTTCCTCCCAGAACGAGACTGGAATCCATCCATACAGACACAGTGGGTGCGGTTGTGGCAGAGGGCATCTGCAGGGCATGGAGGGCAGTGAGCTGCGGGGAACAAAGAATCCATGTGTTCATTCGCTCATTCCCTCACTGTTCTTCTTTTTGGACTGGAAATGTTTACCCTGTGCCATTTTATCGTGGGGTTATTAAGTTGTTTTTTATTTTTTAATAGGGAATCACAGCTAAGAATCTCCTTGTGTCTCTAAGGAGAATTTGATCTTGGACATTTGAGCGTTGCTGGGATTGCTGAGATGTGGGGTAAAGTAGTTAATTTGTTTTGGTGATACGGAGGACTGTGATGTTAGATGGAATTATAATCTTGTGTTTGTATGGATATTAACTATGCTTAAGGAGTGTCAAGTTGACAAGAGGTGGATTGAATCAGTTAATCTTATCTGTCAATTTGACTGTGTTAAGAGATTCTGGGAGAGGTGATTGGCTTGTGAGGGGCATTAACATCACCGGTGGGTTAACTCATTGATGAGTTCATGGTGGAACGAGTTATTCGCAGAAGGGCCAGAACAGAGGAAGTGAATCATGGGAGTATGACCTTCAGAACAATCTGGTTCCTAGTGCATTTCTCTCAGGTTCTTCCACTTCCTGCTTCCAAGCTGCCAGGAGTTGAGCAGCTACGTTCTGCCGTGCACCTCTGCCGTGATGCTTCCTCCTTGGAGTCAGCTGACAATGGACTGAAACTTCTGAAGCCGTGAGCCTAACTAAATCATTTCTCACTAAGCTGCAGGTATCAGGAAATTTGTCCGAGGAACAGAAATTTGACCAATATAAACTCGGTGTTTGTGGTGGTGGAGGTGGGGAAGCAGCCCTTGGCAGAACCAGAACGTGGGCAGAACATCTGTAGGCGGGTCTCAGTTCTCTTGCACTTTCAAAGGGTTCCTCTCCTTCCCCAAAGGAACATTCCAGATCCCAATTTCCTTTGCCTTGGTCTTTGGCCGTGAGTAGACTCACCTCCAGAATTTTGTGCTTCTGATCCTGACACAGCCAACAGGATGCTGAGAGCTGGAATAGAAAGAGGAGGAAGTAATTCTGGAGTTTGCCTGGGGAATCTGCTTGGGTGTGCTTTAGGCTCTGACTTTCTAAAAGACAAAGACTCCTGCCTAGATGTACATGCTGGCTTCAGTGGCGACTTCTCCAGGTGTGCTGTAACGACAAGCAGAACTGTGGTATCATAAACTTCCGAAGCTCAACAGGCGAATGTGACTGAACTTGTGTGCTCCAATTTCTCAAAACTCAGAGCTAACTCAACTTCTACTCCAAAGGCAGCACCAAAAGACCAATTTTTCTGCCTCCCTTCTGTCCTCACTTGTCTGTCCATCAGTCCAGACTTTCAATCCAATAGAAACATAATTTAACTGTGTAGATTCTTTAAAATTTTTCAATAGCCGTATTTTGAAAAAAACCAGAAAAAATTAAGTGAATTTAATTACAGTGATTTATTTTATGCGGTCTAATATAGTCAAGGTGTTTACACTGCAATTTGTAAGCTTATGTTATTAGCAAATATTAATTTAGAATGGCTTATAAGTTATTTACATTTTTTCCATTGTGTATTGAGTCTTTGTGCCTTAATTTGTATTTTGAACAGAGAGCATATCTTCAGCCAGACCGGTCGCATTTTTAATGTTTGGTGTGGCCACTTGTGACCCACAACCATCGTACCGGACGGGGAGGGAAGGGTCAGACCCTGGTGACTGTGGTTTCTTTTGACCAGCACAGACAACAGAGAACCCTACGAGCCTGCTTACTGTGGAAACAGTTTGAACGAGTAAGGGTGCCCGAATACCCGTTTCTGCTTCCACTGTGTCGGAAAGAAGTTTCATATAAAAGCTGAAATCTGAGAAATGCAGACTTTCCCAGCTGTTTCCTCCTGGCTCATAAACTGCCTCAAGGCTGACAGGCTTGGGATGGCAACCACCTGAAAAAGGAACTTAGGTCCCTTTCCGTGTAACCTGGCTGTGTGAGAATCCATTACTAAAATACGGATGCATTTTTGTTTCAGGGCCAGCACCAGCTCTCAAATGGTAGAATTTATGGCAACTAAGAGCTACACAATTTTGAATTGTGTCAAGTCCACAATCCATTTAGATTCTCGAAGAACAAGACATGCGCTGGGAATGTAGCTCAGTGGCAGAGCATTTGCCCGATGTGTGTGAGGCCCTAGGTTCAGTCCCCAGCACTGCAGAGAAAAGCCACTGGAGCAGCTCCTCCATTATAGTCATACAATGAAGTAGTACTCTGCCTTAAAGAAGGACAAACTTGAGAAATATATAGCTGAATGGAACATCTTGAAGTCATAATCTCAAGTGAAATACATCAGACATACAAGTGTAAGGATTGAATCTTTTCTCTTGTGTAAGGGACCCAAAGGCGCAAAATGGAGGGCGGATGTGAGGAAGCAGAAAGAACTGGTTCAGGTGGGGAAGGAGAAATGGATGGGGGAGGAGGGAGGAAAGGAGGGGAAAAGGGATTTAAAGAGATCTTAGAATTGAAGAAAAAATGGAACTAGAGCTTTTGTAAACAGTGAGAAGAAGAGTTGGCGGGAGTGCAGAGGAATGGGACAGAAAAGGGATTAAGATGGGTTATGTACGTGTACACATCCCCCACGATGGATATGGTCACTACGCACGTGCTAGTAAAAAATAAATAAAAAATCACGCTGAAAACGTTATATTTAAGGATTCATAAGAATGTTGTTAAATTGTATGATTTTGTCATTTTTCTAAGGCAAAAACACTCACGCATAACCCTTTTTACGTGAAGGTGTATTACCTTATTCCTCTAGTGCAGACACAGGCAAACTTCGGGCTTGCTTTTTGCGTGGTCTGTGAGCTGAGAAAGGTTTTACATTCAAAAATCAAACAAAGAATAGTATTTCACGGCACATGAAGACTGTAGGGATTTCCTGTTTCTATGTCCATAAATAAAGTTTTATGGGCACACAGATGTAGTCGTTCTTTAATATATATAATGTCCAGGGACACATCCATGGTGCTGGGTGGTGAAGGCAGAAATCACGTGGTCTGCAAAGCTGAAAATATCAAAGAGCTGACCCTTCCCAGAAAAGTTTGTCCACCGCTGACATAGAGTTGAACATCACGTACTTGTGAGACCCCTGACACATCTCTATTTGTTTTTTCCTGTAGGTGTTTTTATACATCCTAAGAGCTAAAGCCCGGAGCAGAGGTGAACGGGTCCAGGATGTAATGTGCAGAATCACAGCATTCCAACCCTAGGTGTTGAACACCATTCTATATAATTTTTGGGGAAAAATCATTTTATAAATAAAATGTAATTAGGGCTTGTCAGAGGCCTAGGGTCTTGTCATGTGGGCGGGCTATAGTTTGCGGGAATGTAATTCTGTGTGCCTCCGGTCACAGCCTCGATGGTCCTGTAATGTTGTGATGCCCCAGGGCGAGGCTGCACCAGCTGAAGACATCCTGGTTCCTGAGAACCCAATAGCAATAGAGTTTCAGCTTGGGGAAGAGACAAACTCCTTACTCTGCCATCTCTCCCCAGTCCTCATCCATGTAAAGATCCTTATTAGCATAAGGTCGCCACCAACCTCTGAGTCATCTGATAATCCCTCCGGGAATTGTGCACACCCATAAATGGTGGCTAGCCCAGAGTGTCATGGTCTTTGCCCAGCCTGAGGCACTGACCTTCCAGCAACGCCCCCATCACACATTACTGAATTTGTCTCTGTTTCTTATTTCATACTTTTGCCGTACCCCTCACTAGGCAGATCGGGGGACTGACTCCTCCACTCCCCCATAGCTGGGCCCTCTTGGTGACTGACTGGTGTAGCAGGTACTGGAAGAGTCCAGTTAACCTGCTCAGGAGTGGTTCCTAACTATGCAAATGACTTGAACAAGGTCTCTGAAAGAGCGTTTTTTTACAGTCTGTAGGCCACAGGCCAGAAGAGTTTGGGAATTGCTTTGTCTTTTTGAGAGTCCTCGGTAGGACTGCATCCCTCTTACCCACAGCAGATTTTCACATGCCTTATAGCCGTCCACCCTTCCTTTTGTAGTTCCTCTTCCGCACTTCCTGAACCCCCTCCAAAACGGTTAAAAAATACCCTGAGAATGGTCCTTTTTTTTAAAAAAATAAAAAAAATTTGTGCTTTGGCTATGTAGTCCAGGCTGACCTTGAACTCACTGTGCAGCTCAGTGAATTTGCAGTGATCCTCCTGCCTCAGCCTCCCAAGTACTGGGGTGACAGACGTGTGCCATGGTGCCTGGCCCTGTTCTTATTTTAAATTAAAATTTTATTTTGAGATGCATAATGGTAAATCCCCGGGTAGTGATGTGAAAAATTATGGAGAGTCCATGGTTCCCAAGGGTGACGTCTCATCAATGCATGGCACAACGTGACTGCTCAGATATTTCAATTGATGCACACAAGGTGCGGAGCACTTCTGTTACCACTGGAAACTGCACATTGTCCTGTTATAGCTTTAACTCTCCTTCCTCCTTACTCCTCTGCAAAACCTCGTCTAATCACTATTCTGTTTCCTAAATTTACAGTTTTGTCATTTCAAAAGAGTTATATAAATGGAACCATAAAATATATAAACACTTGGGGTTGATATTTTTCATTCAGCAAAAATCTCTGCAGATTTGTCCAGGTTTTAAAAATGTATCATTAGCTTGCTCCTTTCAATTGATGAGTGTTATTCGACGGTATCAGCGTACAGTTTATTTAGCTATTCTCTTGTGAAAGGATGTGTGGAGGGCTTACGGTTCTAGTTATTGTAAGGATGGACATCTGTGGGAGTGTAACATTTTGTGTCCCTGGTTTCAATTCCCACAGGTGCAGTTGTCAGGTTACACCCTCCCTGCTGAAGGAAACAAAGTGAGGATAGGAAGGGTATGGGGAAAAGAGAATTTTTTGTTTTCCTTACCCAGTAGCAGGGACTGAGTTTCTTTGCGTTGGTGTTGCCATTACTTTTTATTTTGTTGACCATGGTTATTGTATAGTTTTATCTCATTATGGTTTTAATTTGTTTTTTTTTTTTCTAGTGGCTTATGGTATCAAACACTGTCTCATGTTCTTTTGCTTTCTATAGATATTGCTCAGTGAAATATTTTGCCTATCTTTTGCCATTTTCAAATGGGAATTTTAACTGTGTTTCTGGAGGCCTTTATTGAGTCTTGGCATTAATCTTTAGTATGCAAATACTTTCCAGCCTGGAACTATGTCTTTTATCCTCTTAATTACGTCTTCTGTAATAAAAAAGGTTTCATCTGCATTTTGAAATTAACTTTCAAATTTCCATTTATAAAGTATGTTTTGGTTTCACATTTCACTACATAAATCTAGATCCTGAGATTTACCTCTTTTTTTTTTTTTTCTAAAGTTTTGTATTTTGCATGTAAGCCAGTAGCTCATTTTGGGAGTTTTTTCTTGTTTAAATACAAGATTTTTCTTTGTTTAAATATGAGATCTTGTTCTGTTTTTGGTAACTATGGATTTCCAGTTGCTCCAGCACCATTTGTTAATAGCATTACCTTTCAGTTCTACTTGGAGAACTCCTTTCTAAGTGTCTTGGTTACTTTTCTCTCGTTGCTGAGACAAAATATCTGATGCCCAAAATTAAGGAAGGAAAGGTTTATTTAGCTCACAGCTTGTGGAGGTTTCAGCCTGTCTTGGTTACTTTTCTCTCCTTGCTGAGACAAAATACCCAATGCCCAAAATGAAGGAAATAAAGGTTTATTTAGCTTACAGTTTGTGGAGGTTTCAGTCCATACTTGGCTCCGAGGCAGAAGGTAGCAAAGCAACAAGAGCAAAGGGAGGAATGGCGGCAAGCAGCCTCTTTCCCTCCCTTACATTGTAAACAACCACCCCCACCTAAGGGGCGTGTAGCTCTCACATAATCTGCATGCCCTCCTCTTCCACAGGCTCAGGATGTATACAAAGTAGGCACTCCGGCTTCCTGCTGAGTCACTTAGCCAAACCTCTAGACTCCCCAAGTTGATACAATGTATCAAGCATAACACAGTCCTTACTCAGCTGGCTCCAAGGCAGGGTGACATGTGGCAGAGGGCAAATATTCATGGTGGTGAAAAAAACAGCAAAGCAGTAATAACAACAGACAGGAGGGGGCTGGCAGGCAGCCTCTTTCCCTCCCTTACATTGTATGCAAACTATCCCCCGCAGGGTGGGTGTGGCACTCACACCCATAATCCCAACATTGGACCATGAATCAATCACAAACTCTAGAAGCCCGCCCCTTGACCGCATTAGGCTTTGGGGGGACATCCAGACACAACCCCTAACACTAAGACACTTAGTATGAGTGTTGTGCAGTTAATGCTGGGGGAAGAAATAAATTTGGGAGTAGGAAACACAGTGAGGATAGGAAGGGTATGGGGAAAAGAGAATTTTTTGTTCTACTTACCCAGTAGCAGGGACAAACATTTTATTCTCATAACGCTGAGACAGCAGGAAGAACAATCTGAGAATCCTTCTCGATAAGCGTTCCTGAAATGAATAAAGCACTATGTCAACAAACTCCTGATGGTCAGAAGGTTTAGAAGCCAGGCGGTCCGTCAGTCAATATAAAAAGGATTCTAATTTCTTCTTTTCTTTTGACCCAGTAATCCTGTGTCTAGGTACCACTTCCAGGAAAAATGTTACAAGTGTGATCATAGCACATTTGAGTATAAAAAGCAAGTTTACCACCCAGGAATGGCGAACCATATACCTGCATTCCAGGGAACGTTCTGCTGTAATTTAAACCCTGCTCTACTGCAATTAGCAAAGATCATACTGTAAAAAACTGCACAGCAAAAACTACCTAGATTCTTTTGCTTCATGCAGTTACCGTTTGTTTTTAAATTTTACAGAAGTACTGGACATCACTGTAGATAAGCCTTTCAGAGATGTCAGAAACACATTGTGTGAGGTGCTGTCCCTATGGATATCATTTAAAAATTTAAGAAGCATTCTCCTAGCTTACTCTTTAATTAATTCAGGTTTCGGGTTTCTCACGAAAGAAAACCGTAAGATATTGAACTTTCTTTGTCTGACTTATTTCACTTATGATGGAATGTTAGCGAGCATTTGAGATAAAATTTCTAGTGCTCATTAGCAAGATAATGTGCTTTACCTAAGTGATAATGCCAGCTATCAGCACCAGATGGAGATGTACTTGAATAGTTTGAAGCAAACAATTTTGGGCTGGGGGGAGCTAGCTCCGTGGCACAGCACCTGCCTGGCAAGTGCAAGGTACTGAGTTTGATTCCCGGTACCAAAAAGGAAAAAGAAGGGAACAGTTTCATAAAGAGGAAATGGAAAGATACTACTTAAATGTGTACAGTGGAAACAATTTGATATCCATTAATAATAACAAGGTTTATGTTTCACAGTTATTAAAATAAGAATGAGCAGTTTTCAGGATGTAGATTAGGGTACAGAGGAGATGTAGGGCAAAATAATGATCACATTTAAAGAAGTTACATACATGTGCCTGACACACCTTAAATCTCCTTAGTTCTTCCCCTCTTACTGGGTTAATAATATCCCTTAGTTATCACAGGCTGATCAGGTCCACTGTCTCCCAAAGAAGTGTGTGGTGGCCGGGCGTGGTGGTGCATGCCTGTAATCCCAGCACTCAGGAGGCTGAGTCAGGAGGATTGTTGCGAGTTTGAGACCAGCCTGGGCTACAAAGTGAGCTCAAGGCCAGCCTGAACTGCATAGCGAGACCCTGTCTCAGAAAAGACAAAAACAAAACAAAACAAAACCAAAAACGGAGTGTATAGTGAAGACTACATAAAAGAGGCAAATGGATGATTTCACGTCTCCAGGAGGATCAAAGCCCTCTCATACAATTTGAGATTCTTTCAGGGCTAAAACCAAGACCTTCTCTGTGTGGCCTGTATTTCATTAGTTATCAGAAGAAGGGAGGGGAGTATTCAAGAAGGGCGGAACTGCTCAAGGACTTCTCCAAGTAAGGTATTAAGTTAATCCACCCAGGAGTGAAGTGCTTGAGGCTATAGTCTTTACCTAGTTGAGGTTGGATCCAGGTATCCTTGGCTGAGATCTTTTTTATCTTTTGAAGCTTTCGGGCTTCATCCACCATACAGGCCTCAGTAAGAATCAGTGACTCACAGAGGTTCACTTGCTGTGAGCCTGCTGCCCACCTGAGCCTAGACAAGTGGCCTGAGCTTTGGACAAACTCACAAGTAAACATGAAAAGTCAACTGGTTAATTTAAGTCCTGCTCAAGGATGCTTCTTAGAAGTCTCCATCAATACAAAGCTACTGTGATAAAAACAGTGTGGTACTGGCAAAAAAACAGACCTGAGGATCAGTGGAACAGATTAGATAATGCAGACACAATTATAAACATACTCAGCCACCTTATCTTTGACAAAGGGGCCAAACACATTCACTAGAAGAGAGATAGCCTCTTAAACAAATGGTCCTGGAAAAACTGGCTTCTCACATGCCAAAGATTACAACTAGACCCATGTAGAGGAGAGGTAGGGCAAAATGTGGATGACTACATTTAAGGAAATTACAGATGGTAATAGGAGAATGACATTAATGCAATAAACTAAAAATGAAATGGGTCAAAGATCTAAACGTTAAAAAAAGAAACAGTAAGTGTACTGGAAGAGAGAACAGGTAGAATCTTTGAAGACATAGGTGTAGGCAAAGATTCTATGAACAAAACTCTGATTGCATGGGAAATAATATGAAGAGTTAACGGCTGAGATCTTATCCTTTTTTTTGGTACCAGGAATTGAACTCAGGACCTTGTGCTTGCCAGGCAGGTGCTGTGCTGCTGAGCTGTATCACCGGCCCTCATCCTATTAAAAAGCTTTTGCACAGCCAAGGAAGTCACCAATAGGGTTAAAAGACAACCAATGGGGTATGAAAAAATTTTAAAGAGTTATCCATCAGACAAAGGACCAATATCTAGACCATAAACAGCATTGAAAAAAATCAGACGCCCCCCCAAATTTAAAGACCCAGTCCAAAAGTGGGCATCTGAGATAAATATACATTTCTCAGAGGAAGAAATACAAATGGCAAATAAATCTATGAAACAATGTTCACTATTCATTCAAGAAATGCAAATTAATACAACACTGAGCTTCCATCTCATGCCAGAAGGAATGGCTGCTATCAAGAAACTAACCAATAACAAATGCTGGAGGGGCTGCGGGGAAAAAAGAACCTTTCCCCACTGCTGGTGGGAGTGTAGAGCAGTGAACCACTGTGACAGTCACTGTGGAGATTCCTTAAAGAACTAGGATTACAGGTCCCATTTGACCCAGCTATTCTCCTCCTGGGTATCTTCCCAGAAGAATTAAAAACATCATACCACAGCAATATATTCACACCCATGTTAATAGCAGCGCAGTTTGTAATAGCTAAATCTTGGAAGCAACCCAAATGCCCATCAACCAACAAATGGATAAAAAAGATGTGGTTTTTTTATTCAATGGAGTACTACTCAGCCATAAAGAAGGATAAACTTGAGACATTTCTAAGTAAATGGATGCACCTTGAGATCACATGCTTAAGTGAAATAAATGAGTCACATGTGTAAATACAGCATTTTTCCCTCTGGTGTGAGAAACAAAGTGTCAATAAGGATAAAAGTGTATAAAAGGTATTGTGAAATAAGAAGAAATTGTTCCAAAAAAAGGGGGAACTAAGGAGAGGAATGAAGGAAGGGAAAAGACAAAAACAATAAAAGAGAGATAAAATGGAAAGAAAGCTTTGTAAATAAACAGGGGAAGAGGGCTAGAAGGGAGGGGAAGGGGATTGTGGGAAAAAAGAGGCATCAACATATATCATATAAAGGTACAAATTCCCTGTGAGGAATATGATTGTTATGTATATCTGAATTGTACCAATAAACTTAGTTAAAAATAATTAAAACAAACATATGACCAAAAATAATTCATAGAGCCTCATTATGGGCCAAGAACCTTATTAAGTGCTTTGTAAATACCATGTCATGAAAAGCTCACAGGTACCCTATGATGCAGATCTTATAGGTATAATTATAATTACTGTAGGAATAAATGAAGGTTCAAAGTGATTATATGACCGGTTTAAAATTCATGCTCCTAGGAAAATGCAAAGCTAAAATCTGGGCCAAGTGTGCTTGAGCCCAAAGTGTATGAACAACTTCTTTTCTCAGAATGGATGCTCCAGTGTCCCTTGGAAGAAACAAGTAACATGAATACCTATGGCTATTAATAGGAAGTGATAAGCTGGGCTTGGGGGCGCACACCTGTAATCCCAGCACTCGGGAGGCTGAGGCAGGAGGATGTTGCGAGTCTGAGACCAGCCTGGGCTACAAAGTGAGCTCAAGGCCAGCCTGAACTGCAGAGTGAGACCCTGTCTCAAAAGGACAAAAAACAAACAAATAAACAAAAAAACAGGAAGCAAAGAGCCTGGAGAAAATGAGATCACACACTCTATATAGAGATATTCATGTCCAACTTTCCCTTAAATACAGATAACTGTGAGCTATCAGCTTACAATCTACACAAGACAATAGCGCTTGATTGAAAATCAATTGTCTACATTTTGTCAGAGGAATCACTTAGTCGCGTTCTCAAGGCCTCCCCTTCTGCCAGCACTTGCCCCTTTCTTCATTTGTGTTTCTCTGTCCTGCAGAAAGGATCTACTTGGAAGCGGCCTATGTGTCCATGAGTAGATGAATGGATAAAGACAATGTGGTATTCATACACAAGGAAATACTACTCCGCCATAGGAAGAATAACTTTAAGTCATCTGTGGGAAAATGGATCCACCTTGAGACCATAACGTTAAGTGAAATAAATCAGACACCCACGCTTAAATACTGCATGGTTTCCCTTATATGAGAAACACAGCCAGGCGTGGTGGCACATGCCTATAATCCCAGCACTCCGGAGGCTAAGGCAGGAGGATTGTTGCGAGTTTGAGGCCAGCCTGGGCTACAAAGTGAGCTCAAGGCCAGCCTGAACTGC